GGGAGAGAGGGTGCAGGTATGGGAAAGATCAGGGGGAACTGAAAATATTCTTGGAGTTTCCAGGGTCTACTTACGAACTTTCCGGATTTTGTCAGATCTGGATAAAAACCATCCCAGATAAGGTGCTGGAATGGTCTGAATCGACCTTAGAATTTCAGTCCAGTCAGGGAAAATGCTCTGATAACATGAGCCCTGACGAAGGCCCGCCCAAACCAGGGTTTCTAGTTGTTAGTTTACTTGTACTAGGACTGTGCTCTGTAGTCACAGTTAGCGCTACCGGTGGAGGGTTTTGTCTCTGTCAAGGCGTGTCCTAAGAGTACGTACTTACGTCTTTACATAAAAATATCGTACTAGACGAACGCAGCATAGAATGTACCGTCATGTGTGAACACGAGAAACCAAGCAGACCAAGCATACCCTAGGTTCATCCAAGGGAAGAATCTTAAGGCACCCTGCGGTACACAGGTGCGAAATGGGATGAAATAGGGTGGTAGGGTTAAACGGAGCAGGTGGACGGTGGTTGTCGCAGATGGGCTGCTGCTGATGGGGAGATTCTCCTTGCATCTGTCACCGCACGGTGAGGGAAAGGCAAGGCACTCGTGTTGGCGACAAGCATACGGGCAGGGAGTCAGATAGGGGGAGAGGGAAGGGCACTGGGCTGGTGGTGTGTCAGCAGCGGCACACAGGCGGGGAAGGAAAGGCAGTAGCAGTGGATTGCCTGATGCGAGGCCTATCCCTGGTTCAATCAAAGTTCCACAAAGCAAGCAAGGCCAAGTTGGAGCTCTTGCCAATCAAGTACCAGTAGGTCGTAGTTGAGTACAGCCTTCTCGCTTTTGTCGTAAAAACCTCACCTCAGGCGACGCGAACGTCTGTGTCAGAGCCGAGCAGGACGCGGTTAGTCACCACGAGATATATGTAAACGTCAGGTGCAGCCTTTGCCACAGGCGGAGCTCATAGGGTGCATTAGGGTTTCTGAGCTGCTTCGTGTACAGGACAGAATTTACAAGGAGCGATGCCACAGATTCAGTGCCTGATGTAGATTCCAAGATAATAAAATAGGTTCCGCCGTTTGAGCCCTGCTTCCCGATCGGAGTGCTGCTGATGACGAGCCTCTACGAATCCCTCGCGTGATTTCCCCTTCTCCGAGCCCTGAGCCACGCGAGCATTGTCTGCCATTCTTTCTAGGCTAGACCCTAACAACTAACTCGTTTACCTGGTCGCTGCGTACACAGCGGAATCCATTCGCGGCCCGCGTCTAGTCGCGAGTAACTACGTTCTGTCTGCTTAGCCTCTCCGTAACCCTAGCTCACGAACGCTACCCATCGTCTCTAACAGAAACTACCCTGCATTTCAGGGTAGTCGTTCCTAGTAGTACTAACCCTCGAGATTCGCCGTTTCTCGCGTTTTTCGCCTACTACGATCGGCTCCCCTTCTCTCTCGCCACCCGTCACGTTCGGCGTGCCTTTGAGTCGACTCAAACGCCTTCTCTCCGAGAAAGCCATGGGGAAGCGCCTCGCGGTGCCGTGGTGGATGCCGGCTTTAATCGCGTGGACGCTCTGCTGGCTGGCTCTATCCACGTTCGTCGTCTGGTCCACGCACAAGGCGGCGCTCGACCGCTCATGGCGGATCTTAAAGCGTGGTCGGCGCGCGCGTTCGGTACCTTGACCAGAGATCGCGTCGAAACCTGAACCACGCCGAGGTGCGTGCGTGTGTCTGACCTAAGTCGCGTCTTACGTTTGGTCGGCTCGTCTTAGGTGTGTCTGACGTAACGCGCGTCTTTGTTTTAGTGGGCTCGTCTTAGGTGCATCTGACGTAAATTTCGTCCTAGATTTGATGGATTCGTCTTTTCTGTGTCTGACCTAACCTAACTCCCGGCGAGCGTGTTCGAGGTCCCGTGAGCCATTTCGTGAGCCGCGTTACATCAAGGCATTCTCGTCCCTCGCTTCTTTCCTCGTGCCTCTTGTTTTCTCCCTCTCCGTTGGGACGACGGATCCCCCCCGTCCCTGTCTCCCGTGTCTCTGAGTGATTTCCCTGGCTTACCTGTAAGCATTCTCCCTTCCTCACGCGCATTCCCCACATTCCCCGCATTTCCGCGTTCCCCGCATTTCCGCGTTCCCCGCATTCTCGCGTCTCCCCACGTTTCCCACTCGACTTCTCCTGGGGTGATCGTGGGCCTCCTCAAGGTGTCCAACGGCTTCGGTTCGGACCCAAGGTGACTTTCAGTCGACTCCAAAACCCCAAGAGCCCGACCTGGCGTACTGGGGTACACGGGGTGCCTCAACAACCGCTCTCCGCCTTCCCCTGACTGTTCCTCTTCCTCCCACGCTTATCCCCCACCCCCCCCCCCGCCCCCACTCCCCTTTCCCTTCAGGTGAACATGGGGCTGATAAAGGTGTTCAACGGCTTTGGCCCCAAGAGCCCCGACCTGGCGTACTGGGGTACACGGGGTGCCTCAACAACCGGTCGTGGGTCCAATACGCCGAGCCACTCAGTACGCCAAGCCCTGGATGACCAACGCGTGGTTGGCCTTTGTCGACGGCAACGACAGGTAGGGTTGCGACGACAGGGGGCGTCGGGACAGGACAGGTAGGCTTCTAGGCTCATGTTTCGTTTCTGCGGGTACACGGGGTGCCTCAACTGAACGACCGATTGTGGGTCGAAACGCCGAGGCCACTCAGTACGCCAAGCCCTGGATGACCAACGCGTGGCTGGCGTTTGTCGACGGGCAGGACAGGTCGGGTTGCTGGGAAGATACTCAAGCGCAGCGCACTTCCTGTCTCCCCCCCCCCCTTCCCAGGCCATGGTAGAGCGGTCGCTGGGGTGCCAGTTCCAGAGCCTCAGGAGTGACCTCTTCTCCTCTGCCCCCCTTCCCTCCCCCTGCCCCCTGCCCCTCCCGCCCTCGTTTCTTTCCCCCAGGCCATGGTAGAGCGGTCGCTGGGGTGCCAGTTCCAGAGCCTCAACAGCCTGGAGCCGAAGGTCAGCTCGAGGAAGGACTGCTACGTGGTGAACCTGTTCCAGTACTCGCCCTTCTTCAACTGGCCGCAGTGCACGGACTACAGCGACCGCTTTGGCGAGGGGTGCGGCAACCTCAACACCAAGTGGAAGAGCCGCGGTAGCCCGCCCTACCGCTTCAGGAATGGAGATATTGGATTCAGTGCGTTGGGGGATTTGATCTGATTTGGCTTGGGACTGGGCCTGTGGGAAGTGGATTGGAGGGAAGGGGTGAGGCGAGGAGTGAGTGGGTGACGGGAGAGAAGGGTGGGCTTCTGGTTGAGTGAGTCGACTTGTGCTCTTGGGTTTTGGGACGACTCGTTGCGGGGACAAACTGTTTCATTTGTCTGTGTGCGTGCATGTATGTGTGCATGTGCATGTGCATGTGTATGTGCATGTGCATGTGGATGTGCATGTGGATGTGCATGTGTATGTGCATGTGCATGTGCATGTGCATGTGTATGTGTATGTGCATGTGCATGTGCATGTGTATGTGCACGTGCATGTGCATGTGCATGTGTATGTGCATGTGTATGTGCATGTGTATGTGCATGTGCATGTGTATGTGCATGTGCATGTGTATGTGCATGTGCATGTGTATGCGCATGTCTACAGGTTTTGGCATTCCTGTGTTGCGCCATCCAATCGACGACAATGCCACGTCGGCAGAGGTGCTGGCGGCGCTGGCGGGTTTCCTTGCGCCCGGTTTAGATGCGGAGGCGCTTATCAAGCACACACTCTTCTCTGTACTCGATACAGGTAGCTATGGTGCACTCGATATAGGAACGCTGTGGTGTACTCGATACAGGTATGCTGTGGTATACTCTATACACCATGTATGACGTCACCAACACCGTTTAAAGCGTTGATGTCTTCTCCCTGCTCCTTGGCCCCCCTCGCCTCGCCCCAATCCTTCCTCTTCCTCCCCGTCCTTCCCCTCTCCCCTCCCCCCGTGCAGGCAACTCCACGGCCCTCTCGTTCACCATGTATGACGTCACCAACGCGTCCAACCCCCTCATGGTGTTCGGCGACACCCAGCCGTCCACCGGGCCCAACCCCATCTACCCCATGGTGCTCCCCGCGCCATGCCCCCGGGGGACAAGGTCGTGGAGCCCTTCCCCGACGACTTCATAGGCAGAAGATACGAGGGGCACTGCCGGTACCGCCACCCGCCGCCCGTCTGGAGCACGCTGCTCGCGCCGATACTTCTTGGGCTGCTGGTGCTGCTGGTGGCGGCGCTGTTGACGTTTATCATAGGATCCCTGGCGAGGAAGAAGGCGAGGATCCGGCAGCAGATGGAGGAGCTAGAGGAGTATACGCTGGCGTTAGAGCAGGCTGAGAGGTCCAAGAGCGAGTTTGTGGCGAACCTGTCGCACGAGCTGAGGACGCCTATAACGGGGATGCTGGGCATGATGGACTGGCTGCTGGAGTCGAGCATGTCGGAGTGGCAGCATCGGGATCTGCTGGACGCCAAGACATGCGCCGTGGAGGCGATTGGGCTGCTGAATAGCGTGCTGGACCTGGCTAAGCTGCAGGTGGGTGGTGGATGGTGGGTGGTGGGTGGTGGTGGGTGGTGGGGATTGGTTGCACGGCAGGTGGCAGCAGGTGAGAGCTGGACACGATGGGGTAGGTGGGTTGGGGTGCCCTTGCAGTCGAGCCGGGTGGGAGTGGCGCTGGCAGCGATGCGATCTGCTGGACGCCAAGACGTGTGCCGTGGAGGCAATTGGCAATCGACAATTGGCAATCAACAATTGGCACTTGGGCAGTTTGGCTTGCTTTACAGCGTGCTGGACCTGGACCCAGGCGAAGAGGCTCTCCTCTCCCATTCAGCCGCACCAGTGTGCTGATTCGGCAGAACCACCCCCCCTCCACCCTCCGGCCATCCGTCCTCCCATTTCCCCCATTTCCTCCCCCCTGAACCCTACGCTTGCACCCACCCACCCTTGTGTTCCCTTCCCCAGGCCAATCGGTTGGTGCTGGAGGCGCTCCCCTTCAGCCTGCACCAGTGCGTTGACCTGGCTGTTCGCACTCTCATGCCCGACGCCCACAAGAAGAACCTGCAGTGTGAGTCACTGGGCAAAGGGCACAGGGCACGTCGCATGTTGCCCATTGGACTCATGGCCAACGGGATAATGCACATGGCACACGGCACATGGCACATGGCACACAGCGCATGGCACATGGCACACGGCACATGGCACATGGCACATGGCACACGGCACATGGCACACGGCACACGGCACATGGCACATGGCACATGGCACACGGCACATGGCTCATGGCACAGGGCTTAGTGCAGTGTGGCGTTCGATTGGCGTTCGCTCAAGTCAAGTCATGCCCGTATGGCCGATTGCACCCCCTCCTCTCTGCCTCCCGACCCCCCCCTTTCCCTTTCTGATTGGCAACCCACGTGCGCGAGTGGCTCAAGTCATGCCCGTATGGCCGATTGCACCCCCTCCTCTCTGCCCTCGCCTCCCCCCACCCCCCCCCCCCCCCTCCCCCGTTCTTGTGCAGTCATCTGCAGGATTCACGCGAGTGTGCCGGACGTTCTCATCGGCGACCCCACACGCGTGGCCCAAGTGATGCGGGAGCTCATCTGTGAGTTCCGTTCCTTCCGGATGATCCTCAGTGCTACCTCATCGCACCTCACACCACCTCACTTGCACCATTCTACAGCACCTCACAACCAACCCAAGCGAGTTTCTCAAGTCGTGCGAGCCCTCATCAGTGAGTGCTCTTCCTTCCCACCCCTCACCCTCCCTTGCTATCCCTCACCCTCCCTTGCCATCCCTCACCTTCCACTGAGAGCTCATATTGGTGAGTGCCCTTCATCTCGTTATGACTTTTGATTCGACTCAAAAGTCACCATTCCTTGCCATCCCTCACCTTCCACTGGGAGCTCGTCAGTGAGTGCGTCCATATTTGCCATGCTGATGGCTCTTTCAGGGTGTTTTTTAGAATTCTCAGAAACACCCTCTTGCCATGCTGATAGCTCTTTATCTAACTTCCCCCGTCAATGCCTCTTTTTCTCTGCATATTTCAATGCTCCCACCCCCCAATCCCTCCCTCCTCTTCCCTCCCCCCCCCGCTCCCCCTCCTTCCCCCCCTCCAGGCCACACCATTCGCAACACAGTCTCAGGGCGAGTTATCCTTCACCTCTGGTGTGCGCCTGTTGCTGTTCCCAGTGTTGACACCTTCAGACCGGAATTTCTCCTCCTCCCCCCCCCCCCCTTCCCCTCCCATCCAGGCCACGCCATTCGCAACACAGTCCGAGAGGGTTATCCTGCACGTTTGGTGTGCACCTGCTGGTGTGTGGTCTTGAGCCTTCCCCCCTTCTTCCCTTCCCTCCTCTCCCCCCCCCCCTCCACCCCCCCCCTTTCGCTCCAGGCCACGCCATTCGCAACACAGTCTCAGGGCGGATCATTCTGCACCTCTGGTGCATGCCGGCTCCCGTGCCTATCCAAGCAGTAGCTGAGGCCGCCGAACCTGACCTGGAGGCTTGGATCCGAGGCTTGCAGGCTGGGAAAGAGGGCGGGGAGAAGGAGTGGGACGTGTACGGTGGCAAGGGAATGGCCTCTGATGCTAGAGGAGTGCCTTCTGCTGCTATCGATGATGCTTATGGAGGGGATAAAGGGCAAAAGGAGGTGCTGCTGGCACGAATTAATGGGGGTGGCAGTGCTGACTGCTGTAGAGGTAGTGGTGGTGCTGGTGCTGCTGATGCCGGAGGTGGTGATGGTGGTATGGATGGTGCTTGTGGTGTTGGCTGTTTTGGGCTGAGGCAGGGCAGTGGGCGGGAGATGGGCGGCAGTGGGCGGGAGGTAGGCGGCAGGGAGAGAAGATCGGAGGACTCCTGTGAAGCGAGCTTCAGATACAGCCTCTCCCAGGTAATCACAGGCCTGGGCATCCATGCAGCCTCTCCTAGGTGCTGTATTAGACTCCCCACCCAACCCCCCCTCTCGACTTCGCCTCCTCCCCTACCCCCCATCCCTCGCAACCACTAGTGTTGATCGAAACGGTCTCACCCGCACACACAGCTGTACACACAGCTGCCCGCACAAACAGCTGCCCACACAGCTGCCTGCACTCGGCCCTTGTTTCGCCCGTCAGCTCTCCCAGTCAGCCCAAACGCCCCTTGTTTCTCTCTGCCCCTGGTGTCTCTCGCTGTGCCTCCCACAGGATGATCCACGCCTCTCTGACCCGCCGGTAACAGGATTCATGCGCTCCTGCAGCCAATCACTCGGCAGTCAACCCAGTCAACCCAGTCAATCCATTGGGAACTCCAGTCATCCCAATCAGTCCACACACGGCATGGAAGCCCCCCCGCCCACGGCTCACCACGACCTTGGGCATGGGACCGAGCATGGTGCACTCCCCGAGCCTGAGCCCTGGATGCTCCACCCGCCCATCCCTCACCTCCTCACCGCCGAGGCTTGCCGCGAGGTTCGGCGGTCCGCGGCTCGGTTCCGCCAAGCCATGGTGTTTGCCTCGGCAGCTGCTGGGGAGGATGGGGAGGAGGAAGGGGGAGGTGGGGGAATGGGGGGGGGGAGGAGGAGGGGGGGGAGGAGGAGGAGGAGGGTGGAGAGGGTGCAGTTGGTGATGGCGTGTGAGGACACGGGGTGTGGGATTCCATGGGAGGAGATGCGGTGGGGTACTGGACCCAGAAGGCCACGGGGAATTCGTTCAAGAGGAGGAGGTATGAAGGAGAGGGTGTTATCATTTTTGCTTGTCGTACGCCTTTCTTTTCATACGCCTTGTCGTACTTGTAGTCATGCTCTTTTTGCTCCCCTCTCCCCCTCCCAGGAATGCGTAAATTCGGGCTACAGAGGACACCGCTACCAACACTGCTAATGCCGTTGCCATCTTATTCCTTCACCCCTTTTCTGCCCCCCCCCGCCCCTCCCCTCTCCCCCTCCCAGATGAATGCATACATTCGGGCTACAGACGGCACCGCTACCACCAGCACTACCACCAGCACCACTCCTTCTGCGGGGCGAGCACGGAGCAGCGCCCTCTCCCGCCTGCGCTCGCTCGCCCAGAGGGTTGTGAAGGGCCTGGCTGGAGGCGGGGGTGGGTCGTCTGAGGATGGCCTGTATGCTCGCGTGGGGAAGGGGTTTCAGGACGCCTGGACGCCCTATCCCGTGCGCTTCCTCCTTTCTGCAAGCCTGGTGAGCGAGGGTCGGTTGAGGGTCGGTTGAGGGTCGGTTGAAGGGTCGGTTGAGGGTCGGTTGAGGGTCGGTTGAAGGGTCGGTTGAGGGTCGGTTGAGGGTCGGTTGAAGGGTCGGTTGAGGGTCCGTTGAGGGTCGGTTGAGGGTCGGTTGAGGGTCGGTTGAGGGTCAGTTGAGGGTCGCTTGAGGGTCGCTTGAGGGTCGGTTGAGGGTCAGTTGAGGGTCAGTTGAGGGTCGGTTGAGGGTCGGTTGAGGGTCGGTTGAGGGTCGGTTGAGTGTCGGTTGAGGGTACATCGAGGGAGTGACTGGAGGGGGGGGGGGGTGTCTGTGAGAGTGATCTGTATGCATACAGATCGAGGGGGTGGGGAAGGGGTTTCAAGACGCCTGGTCGCCCTACCCTGTGCGCCTCCCGCTGTCTGCTAGCCTGGTGAGCCGCCTCATGCGAGGCGTGGCGTGGGTGCATCGGAGTTGCCTCTCTCTTCGCTTTCATAAGTCTCTTCACTCTCATAATTCTCTTTGCTCTCATAAGTCTATTCGCTGTCATAAGTCTCTTCACTGTCATAAGTCTCTTCGCTTTCATAAGTCTCTTCGCTGTCATAAGTCTCTTTGCTGTCATAAGTCTCTTCGCTTTCATAAGTCACTTCGTCTCTTCCCCCTCCCCCCCCCCTCCTCGCATTTCTCCCTCCCTTCCTGCAGTTGAGACTGATGCGTGGGTGCATGGGAGTGGCCACTCAGGAGCACTTTCATATGTCACTTTCCTTTCATAAGTCTCTTCGTCCCCCCCCTCCCCCACCCTTTCCACCTTTCTCCTCCTCTTCCTTCACTTCAGGTGAGTCTGATGCGTGGGTGCATGGGAGTGGCCACTCAGGAGCAGCTCGGCTCCACCATCATGGTCTCCCTGCCAATGAAGATGCGCCACGTGGCACATCCAACATCCGCTGGAGAGGAGCAGGAGGAGGAAGAGGAGGGAGAGGAGGATGGGGCGGGGGAAGACGAGCAGGGAGAGGAGGGAGAGGAAAGCGAGGGGAGTGAAGGGGGGCGAGGGCATGGAGGAGGCGTTGGCATGGGTGGAGATGCGGTGGAGCACCAGTGAGGCGGTGGAGGGCAGGCGGGCGCTGGTGGTGGATGGGGACGACGCACGCGCAGAGGTGAGTGCTTTCAGTTATAAGTGTTGATGAAATGCAAGAGGAGAGGGGTGGTGGTGATAGGGCCGGGTAATGGGCTTGCTTGATTGCCCAACACTCTCGAGCCGTCTCAAAAACTTTCTCTCTTCCCGATCCTACCCCCCTCTCCTCCTCCATTCCCTTCTCGCTCCGCCACACAGACTACATCCATTGCCCTCCGGTACTTTGGCATGCATGCTCATCCCACCCTCTCTATCCTTCTTCCCCCCCTCTCTCCCACCCTCTCTATCCCTCTCTCCCCCCCTCTCTCCCCCACACAGGCCACATCCATAGCCCTCCGGTACTTTGGCATGCATGTTACCATAGTGGGCACTCAGAAGGAAGCTGCTCGGAAGATTCTGGGGAGGCAGTCGGAATCCGCGTGGCGGTTTGCTGAGAAGCGGATGAGTGAGGCGAGGAGGAGGGCGAGGAGGGCCAAGGGGAAGGAGGGGGGGGTGAAATTAGGGGAAGGGGAGCACTCAGGGGAGGGGGATAAACCAGAGGAGAGGCCAAAGGAAGGCCGCAATGCGGCGGATGAGGAAGGGGAGGGGAAGAGGGAGGAAGAGGGAGGGGAGAGTTGCGAGATGGGAGAGGAGGGTGCATGGGAGGAGGAACAGGAGGGTCCATGGGGCGTGGTGCTGGTGGAAGCTGATGCGTTTGGCAAGAGTGGGAGTGTGGGGGCTAACTCAAAGTCCGAAATTAGTGGTGGTGAAGAGGGTGCTCAGGGCGCTCAGGCCAGTCAGGGCGGTCAGATCAAGCCTGGGCCAGTGAACGGCTCTGATGCACCCCAGAGCAAGTCAGGGATCGGTTTCGGCCGTCGGATCAAGTTTGATCACCGCAGCCTCGTTCTCTTCCACTCTTCGGCTGTGCGCGCTCCCAACTCCCCTCCCCGCACTCCTTTTCCCTCTTATGGTGCTTCAACTCATGCGGCTCCCAACTCCCCTCCCCCCACTCCCTCACACGCCCATGAAGCGCCACCAGCACCAGCAGCAACACCAGCAGCAGCAACACCAGCACCAGCAGCACCGCCACCAGTGCCGTGCAGCCTTCCTCCCCTCGTGCTGACGGGCCAGGGCTCTATGAGCGTCAACCACGCAAGGGTGCTCGCAGCAGGGTTTGCCGACACTCTCCCCCAACCATGGCTCGTGGCTGATCTTGCGCCGTGCCTTCATGCTGAGTGCCTTCATGCTGTGAGTGCCTTCATGCTGTGAGTGCCTTCATGCTGTGAGTGCCTTCATGCTGTGAGTGCCTTCATGCTGTGAGTGCCTTCATGCTGTGAGAGTGTGTGTGTGTGTGTGTGTGTGTGTGTGTGTGTGTGTGTGTGTGTGTGTGTGTGTGTGTGTGTGTATATCGTCCTAAGAACATGGAATTCTGTTCCTGCATGGATCAAAGCGTGGCTGGCTGGCCCACGCTTTGACTGCCGTCCCTCCGTCCGTCTTCTCACTCATTGCCCAATCGCCATTTCCGTCCTTTCCCCTCTCTCCTTCCCATTCTCTCTAACCACGCCTTCCCCCCCCCCCCCCCCTTCCCCCCTCCCTGTTCATTCCCCTCTCCTCCTGCCCCCCTTTGTAGATTTTCGCTCCCCTCGACCAATACGACGACCTTTCAGATTCCTCCACCAATCACATCGCGCCAGCCGTCCCCTCCTCCTCCTCCTCCCTCGCCCCCTCCACGCCTCCCCGCCCCAAATCCCCGCAATACCGCTCCAAAGCCGCGCTCGCGCTCTCAAAGCCCGAGGACGCCGCCGCTTTGCTAAAAGAGATGCTTAGCGGGAAGGAAGTTCTAGTGGTGGATGACAACGCGGTGAACCGCATGGTGGCAAGGAAAACGCTGCAGGGCTTAGGGGCGAAGGTGGAGCTGGTAGAAAGCGGGGAGAAGGCTCTGGAGAGACTAAACAGTGCAAATACGTTCTTCATGCTGCTGATTGATCTGCACATGCCCCCTGGGATTGACGGGTAAGCGAGCCTTGACCATCTTCCCCCTCCCCCCTCCTCCCCCCCCCCCGCGTCTCCCCCCTCCCCCTTCCCCCTTCCCCTTTCCCTTATGTTCCTGTGCCTTGCACACTCGCTGCACGCACACGCTCATGTGCTCGCTTCCTCTCACATAGCACTCAGGGTTCCGCCCTGCCCTTTTTTCCCCCTACTCGAGTCTCTCTTTTTCGCACCCGTGCCTCATACATGCACACACACAGTCTCTATTGTTTTCTCGCACCACACACAGGCCCGGGTGCTTGCTTCATCTCTCAGCACCCTCTCTCTCGTTCCCTCCCCACTCCCCTCTCCTCTCGTTCCCTCCTCACTCCCCTCTCCTCTCGTTCCCTCCCCACTCCCTTCTCGCACCACCTGTTACAGCTATGAGACTGCTCGCCGCATTCGAGCCAAGTTTCCTGCTGCCACTGCTGCACCCACCACCAGCACCGCCACCTCCTCCTCCTCCTCTGCCTCCATCCCCAAGCTCGAATCGCAGCCATCCTTTTCGGTTGCCGCTGCTGCCGCCGCCACTGCACCCGCCACCGCCAGCACCGCCAGCACCGCCAGCACCGCCACCATCGGCTGCACCGCTTCCTCGTCTTTCTCCTCTTCTTCCATCCCCATGCTCGAATCAACAGCCATCCTTTGCCGCTGCTGCCGCTGCCACTGCCACTGCTACTGCACCTGCCACTGGCACTGCCACCACCACCATCACCAGCATCCCCAAGCTCGAATCACAGCCGTCCTTTGCCTTCCACCCAGGCTGTCTAACCCCACTGGACCTGGACGCACCGGGAGAAATTGAACCAACTCTTGCCACAGCCGCAACAGCAGCAGCAGCAGCATCAGCAGGCCCTTTCCACAGGCAGGTGATATTCGCTCTGACAGCAGACGTGGATGCGAGTGTGAGGCATTCGGCCAAGGAGGCGGGTATGGATGGCACTCTGTCCAAGCCCATCGTGCACCCCCGAGCTGCTGAGCGCCCTCAAGGCTGCTGGGGTCACCTTGCACTAGGACTCATGCACCTAGTCTAAGGTGCCTCACAAGGAGGTGGGTATGGACGGCATGGCATTGTCTCCAAGCCCATCGTGCACCAGGAGTTGCTCAGGGCTGTTAAAGCGGCTGGCGTGAGCCTGATGTGAAAGACGCGGTCACCTCATGGGGCTCACGAGGAGGCAGGCGGCCAAGGAGGGGGAGGGGCTCTGGATGGCACCGTGGCACTCTCTCCAAGCCCATCGTGCACCAGGAGCTTCTGAGCGCCCTCAAGGCTGCCGTGGTCACCCTGCTGTGAAGGACACATTCAGGCAGTCACTTCAAGGGTCTATGGATGGCATGCTCTCAAAACCCATCGTGCACCAGTAGCTGCTGAGTGTTATCAAAACTGCTGGCGTAAGCTTGCTGTACAAGGTGTGGGCGCTTACACATGTCTCAGGAGGAGGCGGGCGTGCAAGGAATGCAGGTATGGATGGATGGCACGCTGTCCACCAAACCCATCGTGCACCAGGAGCTGCTGTTTGGCATCAAAGCTGGCAGTGCCATCTTGCACAGTAAATGAAATCGGTAGTGTATGTATGCAATGAATGCACTTGACACTTGCTACAAGAAGCTGCTGTGTTGTATCTAAGCAGCTGAAGGGGAAGATCAAATACATTCTAAGTAATTATAGAGAGTGCAATTATCCAGCCGTTTCATTATACGCTCTTTTCAAAAGAGGCTACGACAGTAGCAGAAACGCATGCAAACAGCACAGCAGCGCCAGTATCCCACCAAGCTGGCCATGCCATCCAAGTCTGCAAGATTTGCAAGGGAGGAGAGCCCACGTGTCAAGGACAGAACAAGTATTGAACGGCGTTCAGGTGTAGTGCGCGTGGGCACTGGGTACAGGGTAGCGTTAGTCCCTCATCCAACAAAACATTTGTTTTACACCTGAAACCGCTCCATAATTGGCTTCAAACTACACTAACGTCGAATATTAATGGCATCCTATTTACTTGAAATTGTGCATACCAGCATTGTTCCGACTCTAGAAAGTCATTCTGGATTTCAGTCAGACAGCCCGAATTCCTTTGGCATGTCCGCGTGCTCGAATTGAATGCGAACCTAGCGTGCGTGGGTGGGGTTGGTTGGACGCTCACATTCGCGCCGAGCCGAGCGAGACCCCGAATCCACCTCACGCCGCATGTTTGACGTGGATTCTGTTGGCTCCATGTGATGTCACCACTGTACCAGACGCTAGGAGCTCCCTAGGTTTCACGGTCAGCAGAATAAAAACATGGAGATGAGAGTTTACTGTACTCTCCTGCAGAAATATATGTCATAACTTCTTTAATTTCATCGAGCTTTAGCACTTTTCGGCTCAGACTGTCAAACAGGTGCATCTTGTGCATGGCCCCGATAACGCATGGAGGTCGAACATGATAGCAATTCACGTGAATCACCATGTCACTTTGGCCCATGTAAGGCAGTTGAGGGCAGCTCCCACAATGCCAGCTCAGTCCTTTGCGCGCATGGGTGCCAGCACAGCTGCGCTGAACGGACGACACTTCGCGCCAAATCTGACTCGTCCTTGTTCGGATCTGACAAGAGCAGAGAAGAGCACAAACAGGCGAAATTGCGCTCTTCGCTAAAAACTTTACCTGTTTTAAACCCGTCAACCCTTATCGCCCAGCGATTGCATGCGTGGCTATTTAGGCCAATTCGGTCAACCTCGCGCTATTGTTCCCTCAAAATGCTGCACCGAAGTGCATTATAGATCATATGCGATTGGTGCAACGACGACTAGCGCAAAATTCTCACAGGTGCATTTTTTTCCGTAGGTGCAAAACCCAAGTACGCACCCGTCCAATGAAAATAGTCGCAGCCAACATGTGAAAAAATCGTTACCACCATTAGAAATCGCATATTCCACGTCAATGCGCTCCTGAGTGGTCGACGACCAGTTGCGTATGCAATGTGTTACAAAACTAAACAAATTTCACTGTTGCAATCTACCTATTTACTGGTTGACGCGGAAAGACCACGTGCGCCAATCGAATTTTGTGGACCTTGTCGTGGACCTTGTTGCAGCTAATGACAGTATTCCCGTCCCTGCCAACTACGGATACAACAAAGTCTCCACACCTACTAGCTGCGCATACGACAGCGATCCTACTTGCTTAGGAACGCTACAAGCAAATTTGTCTTGGGCGTACTGCACTATGCGATAAGTGTCCCATTTCAATATTATTGGACTTTGCATTACAAGAATACAACATGTATACACAGACTAGTTTTGGGATGACCGTTGTTGCTTAAAAAATGTTCAATTTTGATGGCATCTATTGCTCAGGTTCCTACACCGACGCAGCAGGCTTAGTGTGGACCCCACTGACGCAATATGCAGGCCACTTGTCCTAAATACACTTGGCTTGCGTTATTTTTAGCGCTGATATTTTCAATGTTATCTTTGCAATTGGCTTTCATGATTGCTAAATCACTCCTAAAAAAAACAAGGACGACCGATGTTTACAATATGGCATCCCGTATTTTGGTATTGCTGTCGAGTAGGTAACGTATTCAAGCCGTCTATTGGTTTGTGCCTTTGTGGGGTGTTAGTAGGGGCGTGATGTTTTGGGAGGTCGCTAAATTCAATAGTTAAAAAAAGAGAACAAAGCAACCTTATCGGGCCTTCTGGTGACGTCCTGGGACTTTACAAATTCTAATACCACGAAAACCCCCTTATGAACACGGACATGCCCTCTGCTGACCCAAATGTTCAAAACAACCGCCCAAGTTCAGCCTTTAATATTACCACGAGCCATTTGTACAAAACCATTCCAACACTGTACACTCAGAAGGGCGGCGCACAGTGATCCGTTGAAAATGTCCGGGCTGAAACGAGATTTGCCGTTCATCAAATTCCGAAATCAATAGTTTTGAGGGAACAGAAGCGCGAGGTTGACCGAATTGGCCCAAACTGTTACGTGTTCAATCGCCTGGCGATTAGGGTCGACAGTTTTGAACCAGGTAGAATTATCAATGAAGCGCGCAATTTCACCGCACAAACACCACACACAACTGCCCATCACACCACCACACCCAGGACGCGCAACGAGAAGGGTAGGACCATCTGTTCTTGCTGGGCAGGGGGCAGGGGAGGGGAGGGGGGAATCCATATACCGTATCCGTTCCATCTGTTCATTCCTCTCCTACCTTCCCCCGAACAGAGTCTCCCCTCCCCTCCCCTCCCCTCCCCTCTCCTCCCCTCTCCCTTCCTACCTCCCCCTTCAGCCGCGGGCCCCCACAACCGACCGAGTTTTCGCCTCCGTCTCAATCCAACCACCCTTGTATCCAAGATCGTGCTACCAGATATGCTGGATTAGCTTCGATAAGATTCAGTTTTCTCCGTGGCTGTTCAGTGTTCAACCGTCCCCCTATTGTTCACGCGTCCAGCCATCCCTACTAGCTCCTTCAAACAATGGCTCCTTGTACGCCTTTCCCCACGCTCTTGGACGACACTATAACCAGTGGTAGAGTTCCTGCGCGCGATAAAGAATCGCGGGAAATGCGTCATAGCTTGGAACGAAATGGTCATGTCGCCGGCGCCGGCGCCGGCGCTGCCACGGCAGAGCTCGATTGCTGCCGGGGAGCAGAGTGTATGCGAACGGGCTCATCCTTGGCGATTTCAGGAGCGGAGGAGCAAGCATCTCCTGCGAGGCTGGCTTGCTGGGAGGCGCAGAAGGCGTGCAGTCCTGTCTGGATCGACGAGGCGCGCTCGAGAATACGGCAAGCGGCATTGGCGGTGCTGGAGGCGCAGCAGCAATCTCAACACCTTGGTTCGATGGTGGATGACAAAATGCTTCTAGACGAGCCGCGCTGTACGGAGCATCTGACTGTCTTTGACGAATGGAGCCGCTTAGAGAATGTCGACCAAATGCTTGAGTTGAATGAAGAGGAGGCAACAGATGATGACGACTCGCTCACATCTGAGCCTCAATTAGGCCAAGGTAGAGTTTTTAGGCCAACTGATTCTTTCCGGGGAGCAATTGTGAATTTTGTGAGGAGTTCGCTTCATCTAATAATGTAGTTGTGTCTCCGACAAGTCCATGTAGTCTATAAGATGTATACTTAATGGGACTACCATACCTGGAAAATGTATATTACATTTTGTAGATTGGCGCATGCCTGTTCAGAAATAGCAAGCCCATTTGGTAATGAAGAGCTGTACAACCGTTCTATTCATTATTGATGAGACGGAACTTCCTAGTGCATTTGAACTGTCGATCTGCATGCCCCCAACGGGCCTGTCCGAGATAATACAAAAAAGCTAGATACATTTTCGCAGATACCCTACCCAACCGTTTTAAAACGAGAGACTACAATAACTTTGAACCGCGCCAGGTGTTTTCGGACTCAGCTGGTTGGTTTTGTCCTCGGCAGGTTCAAGGTACTTTGAACTTTGAAGTTATTGTAGTCGCGCGCTTTGAGTCAATATCCTAACGCTCTAAAACGCAGAACAAGTTACTGCACCATAATCAAACGTACTGCTCCGACTTCTTGCTTGTCTCTTTCGGGGCAGAACCCTTCGCCAGTTTTGTGGGATAGGGGCTGAAACTCGATATCAGCTCCCTTCGTTACAACGCTACCACCTTCGTGGGTGGTGTGTGGATGTCAAGTCACGTATCGAGTGCGGTTCGTTCACGTTCGATGCAGTCACAGAAGCATCACACGTTCAAAACTTATGCGAACCGAGAACACATCTGGGGGATCGGCTCTATTCTCCATGTTAGAATCTAAACCGTCCAATTCGAAACTCCAAACCCGCACACCCGATCGTGCGCTTTAGAATTCCTCTTAGCACGCCCCTGGATCTACCCACATTTGCGACATTTTGATGGCAAGCAGCCCCACTTCCATGTCGAAGCGCGCGCTTGTGGCCCGATTTGGAATGCGCGACTCGATTTCACATCCCGAATCGCACGTCCTCTTTCTCTTTGCCCCTGCGCCCCTCCCTTAGAACAATCTTGATGGTCTTTCAAGTCCGACTCTCGCAACAATCACGAAAGCTCAATCCCCGGCGATTCCCCCACTTCCCCATTCCCCAACCAACGCCACCCCACACCACCCCACCTGCTCTGTTGGTAGTGCGCAGCAGCTCAGCAGCACCACAACCAACCCAAGCTGGCAGGTTGCAAGGGGATGAAAACCACAGCACAGCAGAGCACCCTTGCGGCAGCAGCGAAGGAAAGGGCTCTCTCTCTAGCATCGAGCAAACAGTGCGGGGCGGCTTCGTCATATCCGCGTCCCCTCCGCCCCGCCCTTGGCTCTCTCGTCGCGAACCCTCCTCCTCGCCTCACACACACCACCCATTAGGCCATGCCATGCCAGCCAACATGCAGACCGTTCATCATCACACTAGTCACCGCTACGAAACGCCCCCGCCAGCATCTGCGGCGTACGAGAACACTCGGTTAGGAGATCCCGGGGTTTGGAGAGTGACTGCTGGCGGCTAGAGGCAGGGAGGGTTTGTTTTATGCCGTGCAATGCATATGCGGGGGAGTAGTGGGAACTGGCGGTGACGTGACGGGACGGAAACAGAAAGCCCCCCTGAGCGCATGTAGAGTGAGAAGAAATGGCATGAAGTGATTCCAAGGTGCCGACTTTTAAAATTGACACGGGAGCGCTTGTAGAGGTTGGGGAGGGCGTTAGTCGGTAGTTGATTGCGGCCAGCCCAGCAGTTTCGAAAGCGCCTCCACAGCAGAAATAACGTAATCAGGAAGGGGAGTCGGCGTAAGAGGCAGAAGCAACGTACTCAGAAGAAGCAGGTGCAACTGCGCACTCCGTAGGGGTACGTACGCAGAGATAGGTCGCATCGCAGCATTGACTTCCTCTCGTCGACTCGATAGTTTCTCCACTGCTCGGATCGTGTCGGCGGTGAATCGCGCTTCGCGCTGCTGTCGGTGATGAGAAGGTCCTTGGGTTAGGGAAGGGAACTCCAGAACCCCAGAAGGTCCTTTCGATTGACGCCTCCCTCAGCCGTACCTATCTGTTGTGGAGACTAAATAACGGTGCCCCTCCTTGCGTGAATCACCCGCTGGACTGATGCAACCAGCGCCAGCTTGAAATTAGCATTGGAGTAGAGAATGACCGGCGCCAAATCTTGAGTTTGCAGAGAAGTTAAGGTTTATTACTATTTAGAGTAGAGAATCAGTAGAGAACAAGTCTCGCATCTTTTGAGAGAGAGCTGAAGGTTCTCAGGCTTGCGAGTCGGCGGCTACTACGTATACAGTTTTGACGTTTCCAGTCAGAAATTAACAGAGATGGCTGTGCCGAGGCGACTCGTGCTGTCGCTGCTGCTGCTACTGGTGATCTCGTCAGCATGCCCGCAGCCCACGTCAGCCAAGCTACGCGACAGAATCCGCAAGTGGATCGGGAAGGGCTCTCCCGCCCCGGGCGGGTCCAAGGGCAAGTCGGGCGCGCTGCCGATGGAGAAAGTCAAGGAAGTCGCGAAAGTCGTTTCGTTACTCGCCAAGGAAAAGGAGTTCGTGCGACTATTCTGGAAGGGAGGTGCGTTGTCGTTTTGCTCCAGCGTCCAGCAGAAAATAATAATAAGAGCCACTTGCCCCTCTCGCGCTCTCCCCTCCCCGCGCTCTCCCTCTGCCGTACTTTCCCCATAACCCCCCACGCCACTATGTTCGGAGACCCTCCCTCTCGTGCCAATCGCGGTCCTACAGACCTTGCGGACCATCCCCTTCATACCGCTCCTTGCCCCTCCCACCCTCTTCCACTCCCGTCCCCCTCTACCCCTTTTCCCCCTCCCGTCGCGCCAATGTGTTGTAGACCTCGTGGATTTGCTCCTCCGCGCGCTGCGGCGGTCGAACGCGGTGACGCTGCTCGCGCCGTTGCCCGACGCGGCGAAGGCGGACCTCTCGGAACAAGTTGCTCTCCCCCTATTCACCCCTCATCCCCTTGTTACTGCCTCTGGACCCGTGTTACTGCCCCTGTCCCCCCCATGTTACAGACCTGGCGGATTTGCTGCTGCGCGCCCTGCGGCGGTCGAACGAGGTGACGCTGCTGGCGCCGTCGCCCGACGCGGCGAAGGCGGATCTGGGGGACAAGTCGCCGCTGGTGAAGAGCAAGAAGATGATGCGCCGCCTCCTGCGCTACTGCCTCGTCTTGGGCCGGCGGGTGACCTACACGAATCTTGTCGAAGACGCCGTGGGAACCCAGGTAACAAGACGAATCGCGAAAAGCGACAGTTGGGAGAAATAGTGGCGATTTTGCGAAATGAATCGTGTGCTGCGAGGCTCGAAGGCGGATCTGGGGGACAAGTCGCCGCTGGTGAAGAGCAAGACGATGCGCCGCCTCCTGTGTTACTGCCTCGTGCTGGGCCGCCGGGTGACCTACACGAATCTTGTCGAAGACGCCGTGGGAACTAAGGTAGGAGAATACTGGTAAAGTCTGAAGGCGGATCAAGAGCAAGCGGATGATGCGCCACCTCCTGCGCTACTGCCTCGTGCTTGGCCGGCGGGTCACGTACACGAACCTGGTTGAGGATGCCGTGGGAACCCAGGTAATTTTTTGCGAACTGTTTCGCTAATCATTTCGCGAATTGAATCGTGTGCTGAGAGGTTTGGAAGCGGATCAAGAGCAAGAAGACGATGCGCCGCATCCTGCGCTACTGCCTCGTCTTGGGTCGTAGAGTCACCGACACGAATCGTGCCGAAGTCGCCGTGGGAACTAAGGTAACAATCTGCGAAGGATGGGAGAAATAGTGGCGTTTTGGTAACCCTTTCGCGAAATGAATCGTGTGCTGAGAGGCTCGAAGGCGGATCGAGTCACCTACACGAATGTTGTCGAAGACGCCGTGGGAACTGAGGTTCGAGAGAACCGCAGAGAACGATGGTAGCGTCTGAAACATAGAACCAAGCTACGCGAGAACCACGCGAGATGCTGGTACGATTCGTCGGATTCTGTGCGACTGCCTCGTCTTGGCGCGGAGAGTTGCCCACGCGAACCTCGTCGAGCATGCTGCGATAACCAAGGTAACGTTTCGCGAATGCTTGGCGAAGGACTGGTTGCTGAAATGATAAGTTCGCCGCGGTTGTCATGGTTTGCTGTTTTCTGACACGTGGCTCTGTTTTCGGTTTTGTCCCCGCTGTAATCCCATCCAGTATCCGACAATGTACGGGCAGCCGCAGATCAAATCCGCGGAAAGCTCATTCTTTTCAGTCTACTTCAGAACGCCCTCGGGCAGTTACAACAACTCGTTAGTGGCACCCAACCTGTACGAGGGAAAATTCCTCCAGGTGCACCTTGTATCGGATGTGCTTATACCGGATGGGCTCCTGGCGTCCCCGTCCCCCCCGCCTGAGGAGGAGGATGACCCGGTAACTGACTCGCCGCCTCCTGCAACGGGCGGCGCTAGCGCGTCGTCTAACCCCGCGCCTCCTCCGCCGCCTGCTCTCACGGACATGACGCCACGCGGAAGATGAGTACGTTTCGTCTCTCTCTCCCCACTTCCCTCCGCGCGCCTTCTTGCTGTTGCGTCGCCGCAAGTGCGCTCGTTTCCCTCTTCCCTCTCCCTCCCCGCCCCGCCCCTCAAACCCCATCCCCGCCCTCCCCTCCCCCTCAACCCCCCCATTGGCTGGCGTGGCGGCCCGTGGAACATGAGTATTCTCCCCCCTCCCCCTCCCCTCCCTCTCCCCGCCCCCACTTCTATCATTTCTGTCATTTCCTTCCCATGTCCTCTCCCCTCTCCTCTCCCCTCATTTTCCTCTCCCCTCATTCTCCTTTCTTCCCCCCTGCCTTTACGTTTTGCAGCTCTACTATTCTCTGCCTCTTTCCCTCTGCCTATCTGCCTCTCATCCATAACTTCCCCACCTTTCGTCCCCCCTCACCCTCTGCTCCCCCCTCTCCCCTCTTGTTCCGTCTCTCTGCAGTGAGTGACGATTTTTGAGTTGATGAGTAGGCCCCTGGCATGACCTAGTGCCTCGCTACAAGCAGACCCTCTATGCGCCAGGACCTCAGAGCCTGTTTTCCTCGCTGGTGAAACCTCCAATGGCAGGTCACAACACAAGTGATTTGAGATTTTGGAAATCAAGCAAATAATTCCAAGTAGGTAGACCTGTCACTCTTTTTGGTGTAGTGTATTTTTAAAGCAATACTTGGATAGCGTAGAGGCCAAGGCTAACAAGTGCCTAGTGGTTAGTGTCTTTGTTTTTTAAGTAGTGATTTGGTAGTGAAAATAAACTATTTGTTACAAACAAATATAAGTTTGATTCTTGTTATAAATTAATTAGAGAAGTAGTGTAGTAAAGGAGTTGTGATTCAAGAGTGTCGATACAATTGAGGGCCTAGGCATTTATAGGCACGAATAGAGCTAGCCGAGAACTACGCGAATAGGTTGGGGCGATTCAGTTGGCGAAAGCCTCGGAAGCGCTGCACGTCGAGGTTTGGGTTCTCAAAATGGCTCGGAATCGAAGAAGTTGCCCGTGTCAAATATATGCATAACTCGTATTTGTATAAACTGTATAGGGTCATCTCTTAGAGGGTACAACACTCTTAGGTATATACCCTTGTTCTCTCTCTCTCTCTCTCTCTCTCTCTCTCTCTCTCTCTCTCTCTCTCTCTCTCTCTCTCTCTCTCTCTCTCTCTCTCTCTCTCTCTCTCTCTCTCTCTCTCTCTCTCTCTCTCTCTCTCTCTCTCTCTCTCTCTCTCTCTCTCTCTCTATTCAACACTTGTTCAATTTTCTTTCTAACATGGTATCACCTGTAGGTTCGACCCTTCACCTACCGCTTCCGCCCGTGCCTCCTAGGCCCCGTCGCGCTGTCACCTAGGCCCCGTCGCGCCGTCCCCTCCTAGGCCCCGTCGCGCCCCTCCTGGGCCCCTATCGCGACTCCTAGCCTGTCGCGCCCCTCCTAGGCCCCCCTGCCGCACTTCCTAGGCCCCGTTGCGCCCCTCCTGGGTCCCCGTCGCGCCTCCTAGGCCCTTCCGCGCCTACTAGGCCCCCTCGCGCCCCTCCTGGGCCCCTATCGCGACTCCTAGCCTGTCGCGCCCCTCTTGGGCCCCCCGTCGCGCCTCCTAGGCCCCGTCGCGCCTCCTAGGCCCTGCCGCGCCTCCTAGGCCCCGTCGCGCCCCTACTGGGTCCCCGTCGCACCTCCTAGGCCCCGTCGCGCCTCCTAGGCCCTTCCGCGCCTACTAGGCCCCGTCGCGCCCCTCCTGGGCCCCGGTCGTGCCCCCTAGCCCGTAGTGCCCCTCCTGGGCCCCTGCCGCGCCTCCTAGCCCGCAGTGCCCCTACTGGGCCCCTCGTGCCTCCTCGCCCCCCGCCGTGCCTGCCTGGCCCCGTCGCGCCTTCCTGGCCCCGCCGCCCCTGCTTGGCCCCGTCGCGCCTGCCTGGCCCTGCCGCGCCTCCTGGCCCCGCCGCCTCTGCCTAGCCCCGCCGCGCCTGCCTGGCCCCGCCGTGCCTGCTAGGCCCCGCCGCGTCTGCCTGGCCCCGTCACGCCTGCCTGGCCCCGCCGCGCCTGCTAGGCCCCGCCGCGACTGCCTGGCCCCGTCACGCCTGCCTGGCCCTGCCGCGCCTCCTGGCCCCGCCGCCCCTGCCTGGCCCCGCCGCGCCCCCTGGCCCCGCCGCCTCTGCCTGGCCCCGCCGCGCCTGCTAGGCCCCGCCGCGCCTGCCTGGCCCCGTCACGCCTGCCTGGCCCTGCCGCGCCGCCTGGCCCCGCCGCCCCTGCCTGGCCCCCGCCACCCCTGCCTGGCCCAGCCGCGCCTCCTGCCCCGCCGCCCCTGCCTGGCCCCGTCGCGCCTGCCTGGCCCTGCCGCGCCTCCTGGCCCCGCCGCCCCTGCCTGGCCCCGCCGCGCCTCCTGGCCCCACCGCCTCTGCCTGGCCCCGCCGCGCTTGTCAGGCCCCGCCGCGCCTGCCTGGACCCGCCGCGCCTGCCTAGCCCCGCCAGTACCTGCCTGGCCCCCACCGGACCTGCCTGGCCCCTCCCCTCCCTGCTCGCCCGTGCTGAGGCGCTTCGCGGCCGCCGTGCTGGAGGGGGCTGTCGCTGTGTTCCTGTGTCGCTGTGTTCCTGTGGAGCTGTGCTGCTGACCCTGCACGATGGCGGACTTCGTGCTCCGACTGGACGCCGAGGGCCATGCGATTGACTTCCCCGCCTGGCTCTCCGATCTCCGCCGCCACCTTACAGGTCAGCGCAAGGATGGCCACTCCTTGGTTGTCCATGTCGACGGCTTGCTCCCCCGCCCCCCCGCCCCTGCTCCCCTCCCTGCTGATTCCTCCTCTGATGACCGTGAGGCCTTCTCTACTGCCGCGCTTGCCCGTGCGGTCTGGGACTCCCGCGATGCAGTCGCTCAGGTTGCTATTAGCCACGCCCTCCCTGTCTCTGAGCGCTCGCGTTTTGCTACTATTGACACGGCCAAAGCTTACTTAGACACTGCGCTCCCCCCCCCTTTCTGCATGACGCTCTATTTTATCGCCATGCGTCTGCCAGACCGCCTCGCTAGTGCCCGCGATCACTTCCTTAGCCAGCACCCGGGTGACCTCACCCTTACTGCCTTTGTCGATACCCTCACAGAGATCGAGACTCGCCAGCGTACTATTGCTCAGTCGAGCGGTGCGCCAGCAGTTTCTATCTTTTACGGTAGTGCCCCCTCCCAGTGTACGTTCACTGACGTTCTGGCTGCGGTCGCCTCGGCGGCCCCTCTCACCGAGACGGCTGGTGCGGTCCACCCGCAGCAGCGCCCGCGCCGTGGTGGCAGTGGTCGCCAGGGAGGTAGTGGTGGTGACGGTAGTCCACCTGCGGCGACTACCACTGGTGGGCAGGAGCAGCAGCCCCAGCCGCAGCCGCCGTCCCAGCAGCAGCCGCCGTCCCAGCAGCAGTCGCCGCAGCAGTGGGCCCGTCTCCCGCCTATTTGGCCCGGCACCTCTGGAGGTAGTGGCCGTGGTGGCGGCCCGCGCAGCTTGGCGTCTACCGGCGGCTCCAGTGCTGTCACCTGCCAGTACCAGCTTCAGACCGGGCCTCTTCGCGGCACTCTGTGCCGCCGCCCGCACCCAACCGCCCACTGTTTCCGCCGCCTCGACGATCTCTTTCGTCGTCGCTTTGGCCCGGCCCCGGACCTCCCCGACTGGCACAGCCTGCTCCGCCAGGGCGTGCCGATCTTTGAGTTAGACATGGATCAGATAGGTGCTGCTGTGCATGCCTTGTATTCTGATGCTTCTAGTGTTGCTGGATCTTATTACCCTGTGTACTCTAGTTTAGGTGTTGCACCGTTGTGTAGCTTTGCTTCCCCTGCTACGTCAGGCGTAGGACTGCCTAGGTTGCCTAGTCTAGTCGCTGCACAGGCTCCGTCCCCGGCCTCCGCCACTGCGTCGCTGTCCTTCACTCTCGACTCCGGGGCTTCTGCCTGTTTCTTCCGCGACTGGTCCACGCTCACGCCGCTCGCTGCACCTGCAGTTGTCTCTCACGCTGACCCCTCTGCGGGTCCTGTCGTCGCACGCAGTTCTACGTCTCTTCCCTGTCCGGCAGTTCCCTCAGGCTCCCTTACTGGCCTCCACATTCCCTCGTTCTCCAGGAACCTGGTTGGTGTCAGCTCTCTCCAGGACCTCGGCGTCACCACCACGTTCCCCGGACATGAGCAGTTCGCTGTCTGTTCTGAGGCTGTGTCAGGTTCCCCCCTTGCGACGTTCCCCCGGGACCCGGTGTCCGGTCTGTTTACCCTCGACACCGCTTCCCCCCCGGTTCGTGCGTCCTCCCAGGTCGCTGCAGCTTGCTCGTGTTGGTCCCTCACTCACCCCTCCCTTCTCTGGCACCACCGCTTAGGTCACCCTGCTCTCCCGCGTCTGCGTCACATGTCCCAGCACAGCCTTGTCTTAGGTCTCCCTGCGTCGCTCCCCGCCCTTCCTCCCTCGACTGCGCCACCGTGCACGCCTTGCGTCGAGGGCCGGCTCCGCCGTGCCCCCCACTCCTCCTCGCTGCGCCCGGCCACTGCCCCCCTCCAGACCTTGCACCTGGACGTTTGGGGCCCGGCCTCCGTCCCCGGACCGCGCGGTGAGCGCTACTTCCTTGTGCTTGTCGACGACTACACGTGCTACACCACGGTGTTTCCTCTGGAGCGGAAGGCCGACGTGCCCGACGCTCTTCTCCCGTGGGTTGTGGCTGTGCGTCTCCACCGCGGTCTCCCCGTGTTGTGTCTCCACTCCGACCGTGGTGGCGAGTTCGCCTCTAGTCGGCTTGGACAGTTCTGTCGTGCGGAGGGCATCACCCAGTCATACACCTTGCCGGACTTGCCACAGCAGAATGGGGTTGCTGAGCCCCGCATTGGCTTGGTCATGGAGGTCGCCCGTACCTCCATGATCCATGCCGATGCCCCCCATTTTCTGTGGCCGTTCGCCGTTCGCTACGCTGCTCACCAGCTTAACCTGTGGCCACGCTCCCAGCGGCCGCAGGTTTCGCCGACCCTCCTTTGGACCGGGTCCCCCGGTGACCTGTCTGCGTTCCACGTCTGGGGCTGCCTCGCTCACGTTCTTGCCTCTGGCACGGACAAGCTCACTGCCCGCACTGTCCCCTGTGTCTTCCTCGGTTTCCCCCTGGACTCGTCTGACTGGCTTTTCTATCACCCGCCGTCTCACCGCTTCCTCCACTCTCGTGACGTTACCTTTGACGAGTCCGTCTCCTTCTACCGCCGCTTCCCTCACCGAGGTCTCCCTGTTTCCCCCCCCCTGTTCCTTGCTCCCTCTCCCTCGGTAGCCCCTGCCCCTCCCCCGCCTCGTCCTGCCCCGTCTGGTGTCTCTCACGTCACTCCCCTCCCGTCGGTTGTCCCCGTTGAGGAGTCTGCTGACTCTGGTGGTTCCCCCGGTCTGTCCTTGCCGCGTTCCCCTTCCCTGGTGCCTCCGCTCCCACTGTCACAGTCGCCGACCCCGCTGCAGCTGCCGCTGCCGTCGCCGCCGCAGCCGTCGCCGCAGCCGTCGCCGCTGCAGTCGTCGCCGCCACTGCCGCCGCCGCTCTTGGCTTCTGGGGGTGCCGCTGGTGTTGGAGGGGGTTCTCCCTCTGGGGGTGCTGGTTCTGGGGGTGCTGCTGTTGAGGGTTCTTCCGACGGTCGTTCTGCCTCTGCTGGTCCGAGAGTTCCGGCCCAGCCGTCGTCGCCGCCGCAGCAGCCGTCGCCGCCGGTCTCCGCTCTCCGCCTGCTCGGCCTTCCCTCCCCGGACAGCGCGCCAATGTCTCCCCCCCCGCCTGCTGACCTTCCTGTCTACGGTCCTGTGTTCCCGCCGCCGGACTCGTCTCCGGCCCATCTTCCTCCTCGTTCCCCTCCTGTGTCTCCTCCGCTGTCCCCTGACCCTACACCTCCGTCTCACGTTTGGGCTCGCCGTCCCTCCCGTGCTCGTCCTGTCTCTCCTGTCCTGCCCACCCACCCTATGTTGCTCCGTTCCCGCTCGGCTCGTCCTCCCCTCCTCCCGTCCCCTCCTCCCTCGTCCCTTGCTGTTGCACCTCCTCCGTTCTCCGACTACCTCCGTGCTGCTAGTCCCCTTGTCCCGCGGGTCCTTGCCTCTCTTGTTACCGACCCGTCTGTTCCCGTCTCGCGCCTTGACGCGCTTGTCGCTGCTGTCGCTGACTTCACCTCTACCCGCCGCCTCGACTATGCTACTGCTCTGGTCTCTGACCCTGCCCGTCCTCCGTCCGTCGGGGGTGCTTCTGCCCTTAGCAGTGACGTCCTAGAGGACAGGCAGTACGAGCTTGCTTTCCTTTCCGAGGCCGCTCCCCATCTCCGCTCCATGCTCCTAGTCCCTGAGGGTGACCCCGACGCCTTCGACATCCCGACCCCTCGCACCTACGCTGAGGCCACCTCGGGACCTTGGGCCTCTCAGTGGATAGCTGCCATGGAGCAGGAGATGGCATCTTGGAGGTCCACCGGCACTTACGTCGACGCAGTTCCCCCGCCTGGGGTGAACGTAGTCGATGGTCGGTGGCTCTTCAAGGTGAAGCGCCCCCCTGGAGAGCCGCCTGTCTTCAAGGCGCGCTACGTGGCCAGAGGTTTCAGTCAGCACGAGGGGGTGGACTTCTTCCAGACCTTCGCCCCGACCCCAAAGATGACCACTCTTCGGGCGCTGCTACACGTAGCAGCACAGCGTGACTACGAGCTTCACTCCCTCGACTTCTCTACTGCCTTTCTTCAGGGCAGCCTACACGAGCAGGTCTACCTGCGCCGACCACAGGGCTTCACTGGTACCTTCCCTTCTGGGACCCAGTGGCTTCTCAGGCGCCCGGTCTACGGCCTGCGTCAGGCTCCCCGCGAGTGGCACGACACGCTACGTGCCACGCTAGCAGACCTGCAGTTCTTTCCGTCCTCTGCTGACCCTTCACTGTTTGTGCGTTTCGGCCAGACTCCATTCTACATCCTTGTCTACGAAGACGACCTGGTTTTCGCTACCCCTGACACGGACGCATTGGCCTCTGTGAAGACTGAGCTGCTGAAGAGACACACCTGCACTGACCTTGGAGAGCTGCATCGCTATCTTGGCCTGCAGATCTCTAGGGACAGAGCAGCACGCACCATCACTCTGACCCAGTCACACTTGGTGCGTCAGGTCCTTCAGAGGTTCGGTCTTCAGTTCTCCTCTCCACAGCCCACACCTCTACCTGTAGACCACGGGCTTTCCGCTCCTGTTCCTGAGGAGCCAGTAGAGCCCAGCGGCCCCTACGCAGAGCTGGTGGGTTGCCTCATGTACCTGATGACCTGCACTCGCCCAGATCTCGCATACCCTCTCAGCATCCTGGCTCGCTTTGTGGCCACTGGCAGACACCGACTACAACACTGGTCGGCCGCTAAGACGGTTTTGCGATATCTAGCAAGTACATCAGGCATGGGGTTAGTGTTAGGAGGATGCAGGCCAGTGGTACTCACTGGGCACACAGACGCTTCTTGGGCAGACGACTTTGAGACGCTCAGGTCGTCGCAGGGCTACTGTTTTAGCCTTGGTTCGGGTGCTATCTCTTGGAGATCCACTCGCTCGTCGTCTGTTGCTCAGTCGAGCTGTGAGGCTGAGATCTACACTGGTGCCATGGCGGCACAGGAGCTCCGCTGGCTGACCTTCTTGCTCACAGACTTAGGTGAGCGGCCTAGCTCTGCCCCGGTCCTGTACGCTGACAACAGGGCCATGATACTCCTGTGTCAGGAGCCTCGACTAGAGGGCAGAGCGAAGCACATCCAGCTGCGGTACTTCCTCCTGCGCGAGCTACAGCAGCGCCGCCAGGCCCGCGTAGTTCACTTGGCCTCTTGTGCCAACACAGCTGATATCTTTACGAAGGCACTTATACCTAAAGATCATCTGCGGCACTGTGTACAGCTCGGTCTAGTTCCTGTAGTCTCTCACTTGCTAGGACCTTGACTTTGTACTATCCTATATATATTTATGTATGTACTCAGACTGGACTTGTGTCCTTTCGCAGTGGCTAGACTAGTAGTGCCGCCCTGGTCTTGCTTTTGTCTTGCCTGTACTCCTTCTGACTGGTCTTTAGACCCTTGTCTCAGTGGCTGGACTAGTAGTGCCGCCCTGAGCTGCTTGTTTAGGATTTGTCCCTATGCAGTCTAGGGGGTGTGTCAAATATATGCATAACTCATATTTGTACAGACTGTATAGGGTCATCTCTTAGAGGGTACAACACTCTTAGGTATATACCCTTGTTCTCTCTCTCTCTATTCAACACTTGTTCAATTTTCTTTCTAACAGCCCGAGCCTATGTTAAATTATATATGGTAGTATATAATTGTAGGCTTGGTAGGCTTACTGAACTTTACTGTAGAGGGTACAACACCCCTCCTTGTATTCCTCTCTCTTCTATTCTGATACTCTTTTCCCTCCTCAACTTTCCTAGCACCTAAAACCTCTCGCCATTTCCATGGCTCCTCCTAGCTCCTAGCTAAACCTCATGCCATTTTATGGCTTCTTAGCTAAGCTAGTCTTGCGACATGGTATCAGAGCAGGAGGTCCTCTCTGCTGGACCGCCTCCTCACGCTTCCGCCACGTACTCCTCACCTTCGTTCGCTCGCGCGGCCATGGAGGCCGCGTTTTGCTGCAGTGGCGGCGTTGTGCCGCTGCCGTCTCGACGCGCTGCCGTGGTGTCGAGCCGTCGTGCTGCCGTCGCAACGTCGACGCCGCTCTGTGACGGCGTCGTCGGGCTGCAGCCGGCCGCACGTCGCCCGTGGCGCCGCTAGACCGGCCGCCCGCATGCCTACCTATGGCGCCCCTTCCCCCCCCTCCTTCCCCTGTGTCCTCTTCCTTTCCGCAGACGACGGCTGACTCTCGCCGGCCGTCCCACCGTCGCGGGGCCTGGCCACATCACCGAGAGGTGCGGGCGCCGCCGCCGCCGCCGCTGTTGTCGAAGCCGCCGCCGCCGCCGCTATCGTCGCTTGCGTCAGGGCCATGCAGCCGCACGCCGCCGCCACCGCCACTGTCGACACTGCCGCCGCTGCCGCCGTCGCCGCCGCAGCCCTTGCGGTCGACGCCGCCGCCTCATGCGTCAAGGGGTCGACCGAGCTAGTGCCGCTGTCACTGTGGCTGGAATAGAGGTGCTAGGTTAGGGGATGTGGGTGTGTGTGGGCTTGTGTCTACCAAGCCTAGGGGGTGTGTTAAATTATATATGTTATTATATAATTGTAGGCTTGGTAGGCTTACTGAACTTTACAATAGAGAGTACAGCACCCCTCCTTGTATCCCTCTCTCTTCTATTCTGATTCTCTTTTCTCTTCTCAACTTTCCTAGCACCTAAAACCTCTCGCCATTTCCATGGCTCCTCCTAGCTCCTAGCTAAACCTCATGTCATTTTATGGCTTCTTAGCTAAGCTAGTCTTGTGACAGCCTGGACTACCGAAAGTCGAGGGCGTTGTCAAATGTAACTTAGGTCGTTACTGTAGACTATACTGGATTGTGCCTTAGAGGGTACAACACCCTAGTCTATATACCCTTGTACTCACACATTATAGTTTACTTATTCATTCTGATATGGTATCATAATAGGTTAGGTCCAGGCCCCCAGAAGTCAGGAAAACTTTCCTGATTTAGGAAAAAAACAGGGAGTTTCTCGATACTTACCGTGATTGTGCAAGGTTTTGTAATTGACAAACCCTGTTTTTTCAGGCTTTTTCTAAGGGTAAACTCTGATCGCTCAGCAAGGTTTCTTAGCGAACCCTGAATTTCTCAGCATTGTAGCAGGTCTTAGTCCTTTCCAAAAGCGTGTCTAGGGGGGCAGTCAAGAATTTCAAGGTTCTCCCCCCCCCCTTCCCCCGCCCCCCGAGGCTGTGTAAGAGCGCTGATTGGCCCTTGGTAAAAAAATTCTCCGCGCTGTATGCTGGAGGTCATGTGAGGGAGGTGTGCTGAGGACTGTGTGAGGGCAATTGCTAGCCCTTGGCCGAATTTGCTTGATGTGCGCCTGCCCTAGGGCTTTGCGAGGGAAGAGATTCCCTCCGCCCGTACAATCTCGTCACCTCCCCCCCTATTCAGCCCTTCCCCCCTCTCCCCCCCACCAATTGTCGTTTTCTGCCCATCCCCCAATCTCGCCACGCGCGCGAATTCGCTACGAATTCCCAGCACCCCCAAAAACCAAGACTTGAACACACAAAATTCATGAACTATAACATGTATAGAAAGATTGAAAAATCAGTTTTTTTTTTTTACAGTAATTCTGATGGCTCTGGATTTTTTTTTAGGGGACCCTAAAAATTCAGACTTTTCTGCAGGGAGAATCCTGATGGATCAGGAAGCCTCAAAACAAATCTAGGGCCCTGGTTAGGTCCCCCCCCTAGCCCGCCCACGCTTCCGCCCCCAGGCCCTAGCCGCCGTCTTGCCCCTCTCCTAGCCGGCCCCCTGGCCGTCATGCCTATCCCTAGATGGCCCCCTGGCCGTCGCGCCCGTCCCTAGCTGGCCCCCTGGCCGTTCGCGCCCCTCCCTAGCCGGCCCCCTGGCCGTCGCGCCCGCCCCTAGCCGACCCCCTAGCCGTTCGCGACCGTCCTTCGCCGGCCCTCTGGCCGTCGCGCCCGTCCCTAGCCGGCCCCTAGGCCGTCGCGCCCGTCCCTAGCTGGCCCCCTGGCCGTTCGCGCTTGTCCCTAGCCGGCCCCCTGGCCGTTCGCGACCGTCCCTAGCCGGCCCCCTGGCCGTCGCACCCGTCCCTAGCCGCCCCCCTGGCCGTCGCGCCCGTCCCTAGCCGCCCCCCTGGCCGTCCGCGCCCGTCCCTAGCCGGCCCCCTGGTCGTCGTATGCGTCCCTAGCCGACCCGTCCCTAGCCGGCCCCCTGGCCGTCGCACCCGTCCCTAGCCGGCCCCCTGGCCGTCGCGCCCGTCCCTAGCCGCCCCCTTGGCCGTCCGCGCCCGTCCCTAGCCGGCCCCCTGGCCATCGTATCCGTCCCTAGCCGGCCCCCTGGCCGTCGCGCCCGTCCCTAGCCGGCCCCCTGGGTGTCGCGCCCGTCCCTAGCTGGCCCCCTGGCCGTTCGCGCCCGTCCCTAGCCGGCCCCCTGGCCGTCGCGCCCGCCCCTAGCCGGCCCTCGGGCCGTTCGCGACCGTCCCTAGCCGGCCCCCTGGCCGTCGCGTCCGTCCCTAGCCGGCCCCCTGGCCATCGCGCCCGTCCCTAGCCGGCCCCCTGGCCGTCGCGCCCGTCCCTAGCCGGCCCCTTGGCCGTCGCGCCCATCCCTAGCCGGCCCCCTGGCCGTCGAGGCCGCCCCTAGCTGCCGTCGCGGCGGCTTCCAGCCGACTCACGGCCGCCCCTCGCTGTTGCGGCCGCCCCTAGACGCCGTCGTCGCTTTCTCCAGCCGCCCCATGGTCGCTCCTGCAGTCGCGACCGCCCCTAGCTGCCATCGCGGCCGTTTCCAGCCGGCTTACGGCCGCCCCTCGCCGCTGTGGCCGCCCCTAGCCGCCGTCGCTGCCGTCTCCAGCCGCCCCACGGTCGCTCCCGCAGTCGCGGCTGCCCCTAGCCGCCGTCGCGGCTGTCCTTGGCCGCTGTCGCGGCTGGCTTTACTCGCCGTCGCGCCAGCTCCTAGCCGCCCCCCCCCCCGCTGCCGCCGTTTGCTGGCCCCTCGCGTACGTCGCCCGTCGGCCCGCCCCGTCATTCGCGTCGTCGCCAGCCCGCCGCTGCCTCGGGGTTGGGCCGTTCTTCCCGATCAGCACCGCCCTGCGAACCCCCGGTACCGTACTACACCGCCTTGCACCGCACTGCACCTCACTGTACCACACTGCAGCGCACGACACCGCACTGTACCGCATTGCACCGCACTGAACCGCACTGCACCGCACTGCATCGCACTGCATCGCACTGCACTGTACTGCACCGCACTGCACCGCGCCTCACCGCACTGCGCCGCACTGCACCACACTGTACTGCTCTCCACTGCCCTCTATTGTTACTGATGGCGGAGGTGCTTCGCTTTGATGCTGAGGGCCAGCCGATTGAGTTTGATGCGTGGCTTGCTGACCTCCGTCGCCACCTCACTTGTCAGCGGCAGGATGGTCACTCTCTGTTTGTCCATGTTGATGGTACTCTCCCTTGCCCTGACCCCCCCGCTGCACTGTCTCCTG